TGGTCTAAAGCACCTACTTAGAACAAGCTTGGCAAAGCACAGGGACCACGGTTCAATCCCCCAGCACCACATGCCAGCCAGCACCGCCCCCTGGTGGGCTGAGCTGGCTACACACACACACACACACACACACACACACAAAAAAAAAAAATTTTGAAAAAAAAAAAAAAAAAAAAAAAAGAAAGCGCCTATCTGGGAAAGGAACAGGAGGGGGACCCCGAGTGGGTAGTCCCCAGAAAGCTGTCTTTTCCAGGGGCTTTTGTAGAGAAAAACCATGCAGTGAAGCAAGTCTAAGATGGTGGAAAAGACATGGGAACTAGCTTAGGTGGGCATGAGGTGGGACAAAACTATCATCAACCAATGAGATTACAAGAACCATTGCTCAGGTAAAATTGATCAAATCCAGTACCGAATGGGGAAGCGAATCATGTAGCAAGCAGGCATGAATACAGGACAGGGTCTCTTCCTGTTGGGGATTGGGTCAGTGACTCATTTGGGGTTTCAAGGTGATTGATACCTATTTATAAATGTGTTTTTTTTTAATTTATGTGTGTGTGTGTGTGTGTGTGTGTGGCCAGCTCAGCCCACCAGGGGGCAGGCTGACTGGCATGTGGTGCTGGGGGATTGAACCGTGGTCCCTGGGTTTTGCTAAGCTTGTTCTAAGTAGGTGCTTTAGACCACTGAGCCATCTCACCAGCCCCAATTGATACCTATTTAGAATATCAATCCCTGGTGCCCATTCCAAGGGAAGTAGGTGGCTATATTTGTTTACTCTTTTGTCTTGAGGTCTAGCCCACAGCAGGGAGTGTCTGTCTCTTCCAAAGTTGCAAAGTACCTTGTCACCCATATTATCTCCTTGAGGGCCTGGCCCTGTCTGACTGCCTATAATATTTCTAATTCAGCTGCCTACAACAACATGATGAGAAAAGTATTGTTTTGTACCTTTCATTGGGCATTCTGTTTGTTATCAGTTAATAGTTTTAGTTGCTCTCTGATCATGACACACCTGCTTAGACAGTGCTGTGACTGAGTGGAGAGAGGCAGTCATGGGGATGTCACCACCCTTTTGGCAATGAAACCAGATCTCAAATTGAGAGCACATTTCCTGATAGACGCTGAACAGTGTGCAGCACTTCCCAGGTCTTAAGTTGAGTCACTTCCCTTTGTATTTATTTGCAGAAGCTCTCCTTTTAAGTTACTAGGTGTTGTGGTTTAGGTTTCTTTCTTTCTTTCTTTTTTTTTTTTTTTTTGTTTAACTTTTTAAAAAAATGTATTTAGTACAGGGTCGACAGGGTCTCACTGTACAGATTGGACTTGTAGTGATCCTCCTGTTTTCTGCCTCCCACGTGCTGGGATTAAGGCATGGGCGCCACCATGCCCAATCTCAGTCGCCATTTCAGCATTCCCTGGGGGCAGGGCCAGCATGACACACCAGGGATCCAACCCCTGTTGCTGAGCCTGCCTAAGCAGGCACTTTAGTCCACTGAGCTATCTGGCCGGCCCCTTAACTTGATTTTATTTTGAAAAATAAAAGCGCGCTTCCCTGGCAAGCACAAGGGCCTGAGTTCAGTCCCCTGTTCCAAAAAAAAAAAAAAAAGTAAAAGCAAAAGCAAGAACAAAAATCAGAAACAAAGACAGAAACAGGGCAACATACAACAATACATATGTTACAGACTTTCAAACCAAGAATAGCTGATTAACAATGGTTAATATATTATCTATTTTTATCATCAAATCTGTTGCTCAGATTAAAAGATATAGTTATGTAAGATTGGACATATGGTTGCATATTACTACTTGTTTTCAAGAAACTTTAAATTTTTGTTCTTGTGTCTTTTTTGTACTTTTTAAAAAAAGATTTGTTTTAAAGAGAGTATAATAATAATTGATATGACATTAGAAATGGTACACATTTAGAAGACCACAATGACAGGTAATTCAAGCATAATTTTTGTATTATACATAGCTGTCCTCGATGTAGTTGCTTAGATCTTAGATCTCAGATATCAGCATAGAGTTAGTCAAGGTGAATATTCCACACATTTACTGCTATTTTCAAAAAACTGATGGAGAGTTTTAGTACAGTCACCTCAGCCACCCTGGATATATACTTTAAAAGGCCCTAAAAGTGATCACTGGGCACTGAAGGCCCTGTCAGGAGGTGGGCCTGACCCTGAAGGGCATATTCTCGTTCCGGCTCCTCCCTTTTCTCTGCTGCCTGGCTGCTCACTGCCATCCTGTTGCTGCTCTGAAGTCAGCTCAGCACAGGCTGAGGCATTGCGGATGAGCCTCTGTCTTCGAGCTGTGGGCGCTGTGCATTTTGTCACGCCGGTGAGGGAGTAAGACAGCAGGCCTTGGAGGAGACTGCTTACAGCTTGAATGCTCACTGTACCTCCTCGGAGTCCACCAGAAGTGGTGCCAAGTGGCTGGTATGTTCTGCATGATTTCTGTGTCCCAGCCACGGGAACGTTAGGAATGCCTGTTAGGTGGAACGGAGTGTATCTCTGTACTGGTGCAGTGGCCTCTGTCCAGCTTGTGGGCCAGTGACTGAGCACACAGCACCCCGTGTGACCTTCCTCAGCTATTGCACCTGCTCCTGGGGAGCGTGTTTGCATGGTGTTGGGCTTGGGGACATCTGATCAGCATGTGCTATGCCTTCCAGAGAGAAGTGATCCAGGGCATTCAGGACGGACCTTGGGGACAAGCCCCACTTCTCCCTAAGTTTCTGGTTGAGAGTTACACACAGCCTCTTAGATCAGTGCCTGCAGACCCTGGTCATCAGGATCTCCTATAAAATGCATTTAAATGTAGATTCAAACCAGAATTACTGAATACATTCCAGGAATTTATGTTTTAAATAAACATCTCTTGGCTGGGCGTAGTGGCACATGCCTGTAATCCCAGAACTCTGAGAGGCTGAGGCAAGAGAATGACAAGTGAGAGCTTTGCATTAGTGAATCATTGTGTCAAAAAAAGGAAAAAAACAAAACCAAAACCAAAACCAAGGGCTGGCAAGATAGCTCAGTGGACTAAGTGCCTGCTTAGGCAAGCATAGGGACTGGGGTTTGACCACATGCCATGCTGCTCCGCCCCTGGGCACACTGAGCTGGTGACCAAGTCCAGGCATGGTGGGCACATGCCTGTAATCCCAGAACTGGGGAGGTGAAAAATAGGATCACTACGAGTTTGAGCTGCATAGTGAGACCCTGTACCAAAACAAACACCCCCCACAAAAGGAAAAACAAAAACAAAAAACAAGCGGGGGGGCTAGTGATGTAGCTCAGTATGAAGGCCCTGGGTTCAATCTCTAATACCCAAATACAAAACAAAAACAAAATAAACAGAAAAGCATTCTAGGTTTTAAGCAAGCAGGTTGGTAACTCCTGCACTCCCTCATTTGGCCCATTATTCAGAAGAGTAGAAGTGTCCCTTTGACTTTCCTTCCCAAACATTTGCGCTTTTCTCCTCTGTGCCCATGAGCCCCTCACAAGGTCCAGACTACCAGCATCTGTAGCTGGGGTCACTGTACAGCCTCAAAGTTCTCCTTCAGGGAGGTACTGTCGCCCCTTCAGGTGCAGGCCAGAGCAGCCAGTAGCCGTTCAGTCTGCCTGATTGTCATGTTCCACCTACCTGACCATCGCTCAGTTCTCTCCATTGATTCCTCAGGATAAACACATTCCTCACATGGCCAGTGGGCAACCTAACCTGGACCCTACTGTCCGCTGCACACCTGTCCCTGCAATAGAAGCTGCTCTGCCTGCAGGGCTTTTGTGGTTGGTTACTGTTTTCTCCAGAGGTTCTCCTTTCTCCCCTTCACCAGCTCACCCTCAGGTGAGCTACCACTTCTGTGGCAGGGTGTCCTAGACTCTCCTGGGCAGCACCTTCCAGCTGCAATTTTTTTTTTTCTTTTTGTGGAACCGGGGATTGAACTCAGGCCCTTGCGCTTGTCCAGGAAGCGCTTAGTCTACTGAGCCATCTCCCGACCCCCCAGCTGCTAATTTTTGTTGATTTATTTTTTTGCAGGGGGTGGGGTGGGGTTTGAGGCAGGTCTATGTAGCCCAGGCTGGCCTCAGACTCATGGCAATCCTATTGCCTCAGCCTCCTGAGTGCTCAGATTAAAGGTATGCACCACCATATCTGGTTTACTCAACAATCTGTGTCTCTCGAAGTAGACTGGAATTTCCCATAAAGTCAAGGACCAGATTTTCTTATTTTTATAGCATGAGTGCTTGTCACATATTAAACTCTAATATTGCCCCCTCTCTCATATTTGGATCTTCAGAGAAGACAGAATTCTGGTGTGGATTAGAGCTCTGTAATTATCCTGGGAGGCATTCTGTCTATTCATTGTTGTCTGTGCATTTGCAGCATCTCTCATGCCAGCTAGAGCTGGAGCTCTGGACCTAAGTGAACCCAGCAGGCAGAGGGGGCATCAGTAGTGAGTTGAATGCATGGCAGATCTCACTTCAAATTGATCAAAACATTCATGAACTAAGTGCCAGAAATGCTCCTTGGCCTTATATAGTTCTTTTTGAGGGAGGAAAGAGGTTATTTAGTAAGTAATCCTAAGTTCTATAAAACTTTTATAAAAAGGGGCAGTAGGATGTGCTTTGGAGGCACAGCACATGGGGTTCAGGTCTAGTCTGGGGAGTTGGGGGAAGGCTTCTCTGCCTAAGGAAGATCTGAGCTGAGATCCAGAGGATGAGGAGTTACTCTGAGAACAGGCCTGCTGAACTTGGCGTATCTATGGAGCACGCAGTTCCCCTGTGACCCAGGGCTGACCAGCACCCATCCTCTGGGTCAACTCCTCTTGCATCACAGGAGGTTGGCCAGGATGGTCCATGCAGGTCTGGAGTGCATGTGGGGCACTAACTAGAAGAGAGAACGGCGTGTAATGAGGTTCTTGTCAGGGCTCACCTCTCTGACTTGGGCACCACATGACTTCTGTGAAGTCAGTGCCACCAAGCACTCTTGTGGAACAATATGAATATCACCAGCAGCAGGTTTTACTCATTTCTTTATTAATATAGAAAAGGAAAGGCAGCTGGACCAGTAGTACAAAGCACCAGGAGTTAATACTACTCTGGTAAAAGGGTTGGCTTTACAAAAGTGAAGGAGCAGGCAGGAGCTGCCCTGCTTCTGGGGCCAGGCCCAGCCTACTGCCCAGACCTCAGAGCAGCACCTGGCTTGAGTTCCAGAGAGAGGAAGACAGGTAGTTTGGAGGCTGAATGAGCTGGAGACCATGGCAGGGGAGAGATGGTAGGGATCAAAGATCTGGCAGTGAGAACCATCCTGTGGCTGATGAGGGACCGGCTGCGGGTGGGTCCAGGCTCTCTACTGGAGCAGAGGCTTTTGATGGGAAGGTAGAAAAATACTGCAGATACCAGTGAGCATGGTGAATCCAGACATGGCCCTGGGGCTCAAGGGCCCTCTCTCCCTCTCCACCAGGAACCATATTTCCTCTATTTATACTGTATATGGGGCTTTAGGGCCCAAGGCACAGAGGGAGACTCAAAGGCCTCCATTGGGTAGGAAGACGGGGTACAGAAAGAAATACTTGAGTGATCCCAGCTTAGGCAGCCAGGGCCAAGACCCAGGGTAGGGCAATAGGATTCCTGCGTAATGGGGCTAGGATATGGAGCAGGCATAGGCTTAGTGAGCAGGACCAGCCCCAAGGCAATGGTGCCTGGCCTGAACGTTAGCAAATCAAGTGCACAATGTACACTAGGTGTCAGCAGACCCTGAGCTTGATTGCACAGAGCTGTGTCACCCACGTCTGTTGTGGCTTGTGTCCTCATTTGCCAATGAGGGCTTTGGATGTGTCCTTTAAGGTCATGGGAAGGCCTATGCAGGTGAATGGAGCTCCAGGACCTGCCCTTGGTAGTTAAGTGGGAACTGATCTCAACTAGTCCCTGGATGGAGCTGGCATGGGATGGGAGTGAGGAGTGATGGAGAAGAAAGATATTCTTGCATAGAACCTACCCCACAAATACTAGAGAAAGGACACAGTGTGGCTCAGTACAATCCCTTCACAACCAGCATCTGGTACCACTTGGCATGGAGAGAATGGGGTGGCACTGCAACCCTTTATGTTCTTCCCATGGTGGGGAGCTCAAGGCCGCTGGTGGCTTCTGTCTCCAGCCCTCAGCATGGGATCAGGAGTGCTCCTTTTGACTGTGGTCCTATCTTGGGACAGCCCAAGACTCTGCCTGGCTGGCACATGTTAGTTAGTGAGGAAAGGACAGAGAGGGGTAACTAAGCAGACAGGGAGGTGAGAGCAACTCTCTGACTTTCTCCTCCTCTTCTGGTGAGAGCAGCTCAATCAACTGAGTCACAGATCTCTTCTACGACAGCGTTGAAGATGTGGGGCTGGTCGGCATAGACATGGTGTGATGCACCCTCAATCTCCTGCAGAGAGAGGACCCATGACATAGGATGGTGCTTTATTCCAGGCATTAGAAAGCTGTCCCACTATTCCTTCTTTCCTTAGACTTGCCTATCACTCACCAGCTCCTAATAGAAACAATGCTCCCATTTCCTTCTTGATTTTGTTACTTTCTTTTGGGAGCCAACGTGTCTCAGTATCCCATCTTACTTCCTCTTACATCATCCTCTATATCTGTCCTTCTGCATCAGCATCACCGCTGATATGCTCCTTTTATCAGTAACCCAGTGACTATAGGGGAGCTCAAGGTAGGGTGCTATAGGTAGCACCGGCCCACTTACATATACTTACTGGCATGTAACGAAGAGTAGTGTGATGTAATAAAGTAAAGGGAAAGCTGAGTGTGTGGAGAAGTCTTCATGGGGCCTCTCACACTCATAGCTCTGGCTTTGGGTAGAAACAACCAGGGGCAGGGCTGGAGTGGCAGCATATGCCTGACTACTGGACAAGAACCTGTCTTTCAGTTGAAATGGACTACACAGAAGTAGGAAGCCCTTAACCAACTCTCACAGAGCAAGCAAAATCTTTCAAGTCCACCACCGCATTTCAATCTGATCCTCCTTCTTTTCCCTGGATCTAATCACCTTCTCTACCCCAGGATGAGTCTGCTGACCAGACCGGGATTCCCCCCACGCATTTCTTGCTCAACTCCCGCTTGTTGGGTAGGCCAACATACCAAGTCTCGGACATAGGAATCTGGCCGCTGCATCTTCACCTTTTTCCCTGTGCTAGTGTCTATCCAGGTGTTGGCCCCATAGATCATAGTGATGGGCACCTCCTTTCGGATTAAGTGAATCCGCTCCAACATGGGGCGCCGGGCCCAGCCAAAGGACTCCATCATGGCTTTGAATGCCGTTTCACCACTGATAAAGCAAAACAAGGAATGGCCATTAACAGAAAAAACCCTGCAGCAGAATATGTCTACTTCTTGGTCTCTTTGGGGGCTAGGGCAGTATATTAGTTGTCTTTGGACTCTCCACTTCAAAGCCTAGTGGTTGGGGAGATAGCACAGCAGATTAAGTGCTTCCCTGGCAAGTGCAAGGTCCTGAGTTCAATCCCCGGTTCGGCCAAAAAAATGAAACAAAACAAAAACAAAAACAAAAACAAAAAAATCAAAGCCCAGCACTAGGCTCATCCAATATTGGTTAAGATTAGGAGGTGACTAAATCTCCAGAGGTCACAATTGGGAAAAACAGAACAACACAAAACATGGTACCAAGAGTGACCCAAGAACAGAATGTACTACTCTTCATTCAACAGATATTTATGTGTCACACCCTGTGCTGTGTGGGGGGACATATAAACTGGACAGATGAGGTCCCTGCCCTTCTGGAGCTCACACTTTAGGAAGGTGGGTATTAAACCATTTGATTAAACATTTAACTTGAAATTTCCTCAGACTATATCAGCGTGCTAGACAGCTATGAGAACATAGACTAGGGACTTGTTTGCTAGGGCAGCAAAGGGGGATTTGTTTGAGGTAAACCCTGAAAAACAAGTAAAAAGGGTCCTTCTGGGACTCTGGAATTAGGATGAGATGTATGAGGACTGAGTGTTTAGTGCTAAGGGAAGAGCAACCAATGCCAATTTACTTTATCACCTGGGCATTGCCTTTGGTGGAACTAATTTAGGCTAAGGTAAGAGCCAGCTTCCTGGGCTAGTTTGCAACTTTGTGGGAGGTAGGGAGGTTGGGGACACTGCTATTCTCTAGGCATGGCATGTTCAGTGTAGTTATATCCTGGGTCTTCTTAGTATCCCTGGGATGAATTCTGTCCAGACTATCAGAAATTTTCTGACGAATGTTCCTCAAGACACCAGAGTATACTGGATAGGTTATGGCCTTTGGCGTTACACATGAATTCCAATCCTGGAATTTTTTTTTTTAAGGAAGTCAGGTAACTGGAACAGACCTATTTTCTTCTCTGCAAGTTGGAGAGAGTTACAGCCACCCATTAGGTCATGATTAGGAGCATAAAAATATATACACAGCCACTAAAGTTAGGTGAAGAGATGTACATAAACCCTAAACATTTTTCTGAGCCAAATTTCACATTTTCCAAGGACTGATTATAGGATATCCTGAACTTGTTAGTTACCAATACAAAAACTCAGGGAATTACGAAATAGAATGATGGTTTTTTGGGGGTGGTAAAGTTGGTCATTTTTACGTCATCATTGCTTCTTCCTAGACACAAGTTGCAAGATGACTGTGGATTTGACTGGGAAGTTACTATACAGATGTTGGTCTCATATTAGGAAAGTTCCAGAGTTGGGCCTGTGAGACTAGCACTGAGCCTGTGGAGGCAGAGAAGAGCCAAGAGCTGGCAGCTCAGGGCACCTGATGTGACTTTGAACTGGGCTTCTACAGCACTGCTTAACAGCAGACCCCCATCTGTCCAGCTCATGGGAGATGCTGGCTAGGCAGCTGCCTAGAGCTCCCTGGGCATGTAGCTGATGCTAACAGGATTGCTGAAAGGGAAATTCCTGCCTGCCTTACAGCTTTGGACTAACAAGCGGTGATGCAGACAGGCCTAGAAAGAGGTGGGACAATGGCCCAGGCTCCTGAGATGCCTCCCAGCACCTCAGAGTGAGGCCTCTACAGAGGTGGTGCCACCAATGTGGCTTTATGCTATCAGGCACTTGCAGACACTGGTGTAGGGGATGATTACCTCCCTGACTCTATCCTGGTTGTCAGCATTGCTGTGACTGTAGGGTGGCAAGCTATGGGGCCTGCTATCTGAGTAGACAGGAACACCATAAGGTCCCGGGGACACCCCTATACCTCCAAAAGAAGTGAAGGAATTTCGGTCACAATGGTAAACTACTTCCAAGTATAGAAAATTAAATCAAATGCAAGTCTTTCACTAAACAATTCTGTCTATAGGGATGGTACTCTGTGCAGGTATTGTGTATGTGTGCAAGGGAACTCTGCCAGGTCATGTGACATCTCAAGACTGAAAATCATAGAGAAATCTGAGCACTGTAGGTCAGGGAGAGCAGATACCTCTCCTCTCTTTTGTCTTTCAAAAAATTATGGGTTTATATAATTTTTTTCAGTTAAAAAAAATCTTTTAGACTATTTCCCAGCGTCTTACCGTCAGGCCAACTGCCTAGCTTCAAGGAAAGGGAGGATCTTCCTCTAGAGACCTACAGCTTGTTTAAATTAATCTATTATCTTCTACATCCTTTTGTTCCCAACCCTGGGGATCTCTCTGGAAATGATCAAGCCTGCTGGTAGCTGAGTTCCCTAACTTCAGTACTTTGTGGGAAAAGAAACAAAGCACAGCATTTGCAGCTGGGGTTTTATCTCCACAGGGCCCATGGCAGGCTGTGCTGGGAGCCACCCTCACCTGGGGTTTTGTGCATTGCAGTGGTAGATATACTCAGAGATGGTATCATCTTCAAAGAAGTCTGCAAACTTGCGCTTGAAGTCTGGCCGGAATCGCTGCACCAGGCCAGGCCCTGGGAGAGGATGAAAACAGGGAGAAGCCAGGTTGGACAGTAGAAGGGATGAGATCCCTACTGTGTCTGTTTAAACAACTGTAAATGTTAAGGGTGTATTTGCTTTATGAATTTAACATTATAGTAGCACAACAGAATGCAAAGCTTCTACTGGGAAGCTCCAGATACATTCGGAGGAGAATTAGTGGGTTACCAAGGAATTCACAGAGATGGTCTAACATTCCTGAGGTACCAGGGTATTTTCAGCTCACTGAAGTCCCAAGGTCTTTATATACAAGAATCATAAGCTCTGTAAGAGTCTATGGTTGAGATACTTTTTTTTTTTTTTAAACCGTCTGAGTGAGGCCGGAAGATAGTTCAGTAGAATAAGTGCTTGCCGGGCAAGCACAGGGTCCTGAGTTCAATCCCCAGTACTGCAATAAAATAAAATAAAATAAAAATAAACAGTCTGAGCTATGATCTCTTTCTCCCTGGGACTCTTCTCACCTTTTAATCTTCTGAAGGTTGAACATGAAACTGGAGTACCTCCCAAAAACGCTCCCATTATCAGAGCCTGTGGAGAGGTGACCTTAACAACACTGGCACCTCAGGCTCAGGGCACTCTGTTAAAACTTGTTTCTTTCACCTTCGTGTCTAGTTGTCTCTCCAAAGCCTCATGAAGTCATGGGGTGGCTTCTGGAGTTTGTGACAGATTCCTGATTCAATGCTGGGATTATGGGTATGAGTGCCCTGGGGCAGACACTCTGCATTACAATACGAGGAGTGGAGAGAGGCCAGCCAGCTGCCTGAGCAGCTGCCACTCCCTTGGCTCTTGCTCTTGGCCACTGCCATGAAGGCTGGCTCTGTGCCACCACGTGCCATTCTGCCTTGGAGCCAGCTGAGTATGGACTAAAACCTCCATTAACTGTGAGCGAAATAAACCTTTCCTTCCTTCATTTTGGGTTTCAAGTATCTGTCCTAGCAACAAGAGAAGAGTAACTGAAACACAAATACAAGTAGTAGGGCAGCTAAAATTTACTGAGTATTGGTTCCACTGGTTGATGTCTCATCCTTCTCTCTTTTGGTCTTTTGTTTGTGTGGGGTAGTTAGGGAAGTGTGGTGAGATTGGCCATTAGCAATTAAACTTATAATAATGTTACTTTATAAGCATAAACCATCAGGGTCACCAATCATCCAAAAAGAAATCCACTCTTTACTTCTCCAGAGAGACAGCTCTCTAGAGGGAAGGGTATAGACAATGAGGGCAGAGGCTAGAGCTACTGATGCTATTCACTGTGTTTAACTCCCTACCCCCACTTCTTTTTACCCAAAGAATTTTCTGACAGCTCCTTGGTACTGGGAAGCACAGAGTGATTAAGATGTGGTCCTTGCCAGGAGCAAGGCATGGTTCAGAGGGATCACTGATCCCTTGTTATGGTTTGTATATATGTGTCCCCCAAAACCTCATGCAGTCATGGGTTGGCCTCTGGAGTTTGTGATTATTGCGGGTGTGGCTGCTGCACCTGCCCTGGGGCAGGTAATTTGCATTACAATGTGAGTAGGGGAAAGAGGCTAACTAGCTGCCAGAGCTTCTGCCCCTCCCTTTGCTCTCTTGTTCTTTGCTGCCACCATGAAAGGTTGCTCTCTGCCATATGCCAGTCTGCCTTGGAGCCAGCTGAGTATGGACTGAAACCTCCAGTAACTGAGCTAAATAAACCTTTTCTAGTTGGGGAGATGGCTCAGTGGAATAAGCGTTTCCCTGACAAGCGTAAGGGCCTGAGTTCATTACCCGGTTCCACAAAACAAAACAAAACACATAAACCTTTTCTTCCTTCATTTTGGGTGTTGGGTATTTGTCCCAGCAACAAAAGAAGAACAACTGAGACATCCCTCCCTGCTGCAGGTGCTGGTTGAGTCATGGTTGGGCTCCAATGTTGGTTACAGTACCTGCAGACTCACACATGTAGCAGAAAAAGATACACCTCAGGACCTCCTCCTCTCTCTGGGAGTATACCAAAGTGTGGGGCAGCTGTTTTGCTCATTTGTTCCTTGCATAAGCAAACTTTTTCCATGAAGATGAAGGGGAAGAAAAACAATCTGAAACCTCAAACAGTCTGGTCCAGATAAATGGCTTTAAGTAACAATGCAAGGTCTAGTCCCACTGTTGATAAGTGTGGATGATAAGAAAACAGAAACAGGGGGACTGGCTAAGTGGGATGGCCCTGGTTGAAGGCGTGAAGTTTCTGCAGGATACTCACCCCAGGGCCCGGCTACTCGAAGAACAGCCAGTGGATTGGAACGCCCCAGAATAGATGCCACGGCCTTGACCCAGGTTGGAGGTGTACGGATCTCACTAGGGTCTGTTGGTCGGAGCGGAAAGCCCCATGGGTCCACCAGGATAAGATGTTTAACTCTGTATGATGGAAGAAAAAGAACATATTTGATTTGCTTGGATGTACCATTGCCCTTAAACTTCTTAGAAGGGGCAGAACTATTGGAAATGAATAATGGAAAATACTCAGCAAGACAGGGAGGGAGTCAGGTCATGAGTGAGAGTGGTTTTCTTGTTACCTTTCAGGGTACTTGATAGAGTAAGAAGTGGCCAGGAATCCTCCCAAACTGTGCCCCAGAAGGATCATGGTGGGGATCCCCATGGTCTCCCGCCATGTCTCTATTGAGGTCACGAACTCATCCTCGGCACCCTCTGGGTCCCTTGGGAAGGTCGGCCTTGAGCTTCGCCCAAAGCCAAGTAGATCGAAGGTGTGCAGTGTGCGGCGGGCACTCAGCGAATCCATGTTGAGGATCCAGAGCCCCACGCCACCCCCAAAGCCATGCACCATCACGAGCGGAGTGCGGTCCTTCTGCTCAGGGCTCACAGTCACTGTCCAGATCTTGTTCTGGTTTGGCAGGGACACGTATCGGGCCAAGAACTTGTTCTGGAGACCTGGGGAGGAGAGGATGCCATGGCGAATCAACGCGACCTCTTCCTGATGGCAGAAACCACTCTGCCTGGATGCTGACTCTTCTTCAGGTCGTTCTCTCCATTTCTAAGCACCTCCCAACCTCCCTCAGCTCCTCCTTTCCTGAATCCTCTGGCCATAGACAAAAGCGCTTTATGACCTAGCTTTAGGAAAGCTGCTCTGAGCTCTCTTTTTGACTAGGTCTTGATCTTAGTTCCCGCCTGTCTTCAAGTAAGTCAGGTTTACAAAGATCTCCCTGCCCTTTATATTTTATTAAATTCCTCATCTTCTACCTTTGATGTATAAGTCCTGCATCTTCCTTCAGAATGAATACTGTTAAATCGGTTTAGTAAGGACTCTCTATCTTTGATACGTCATCTTAATTATTTTCTGTCCACTGACCTCCTCATTGTTTCTCAGTTTTTTGCTTTGATTTATTTATTTATTTTTTGATTTGTTTATTTTTTGAGACAAAGTCTTGCTATGCAATTCCTGCTGGCTTTGAGTTCACTATGCACCCCAGCTTGGCCTCAAACTCCTGAAGATCCTCCTGTCTCAGCTTCTGGAGAGCTGGGATTACAGTGGTGCACACCATGCCCAGCCTTGCTGAGGACAATTGTAAGTCCAATCTGTCCTTGTTAGATTCAGAATTAAGCCTGATTTCTCCTCCCTCTATCAATAGTCTTAGTCTTCTTAACTCATTTTATTACTCAGAATATTTTTGCACTAAATGCCCTGAAGAGTTCAAGTCCAAGTCCAATGTATATGCCACGTGGTCTGTAGGTGGCAGAGGGGCATCTTAGTCCTTGAGGCTGTGTGCCCAGCCCCCTCTAAGCCCAGGCCAGCAGAGATACCACTGATTCCACAGAGCTATTACGTCCACTGCTCATGAAGCTGTGTGTGCTTCGAACTGGACAGGTAGGCAGAACTGCGCTCCAACCCGGTAGAGAGGGTGATGGAGTGTGCTGAGGTAGGATAGTGTTTGCTCTGCGGGTGTGGTGGCAGTGACTCAGTGCAGCAGCCCAGGGGAACCACTCTGGATTCTTTGAGCCAGTGGCTATTGCTATTCATGGGACACTTGCCCCAGTGTAACACTGCCTCTGATGGGACTGGCTGGGACAGGTGATGGCCATAGCTGAATGGAACACAGGAAAGAGCAATGTTAGAATGCAGGATTCTGGCCCTCAGGTAGGAAGGTGGCAAAATAAGAGGTGCTTGTGTGTTCAGGGAACAAGGGGGTGAAGGAAGAAGTGGGTGCTGCAGAGGAGGCCAGGGGGCCAGCTACATAGGCTTATGTGTATTAACACATAACCCTGCAGTGAGGGTCTGGATAAAGGCGTTGGATGTGGCAGCAACGGGGAGAAGCTGAGAAACCGTGATGAAGGAACTCCAGTGTGAACCCCTCTAATCATCAACGTCTCTTCCTCCCACCCCAGCTCAGGAATCAGTGGGCTCGGTGTAACCAGCTCTGGGCAGATCCCACATCTGTCTCTGAAGGGTGGACAAACTTACACTGGAGGATCCGGGCTTCCACATTCTTCAGCTGAGACATGGAAGTGGGGCGCCACGTGGGCAGCCAGCCGCTCAGCCAGCCTTGAGGCCTGGAGCAAGGAGACACAGATTCTTAGAGGCAACATTGGGAAGGAAACATGGATGCCTTTCAGCCTTGCTGAGAGGCAGCAGAGTTATCAGAGTACAGGGTGCTGCCCAGCTCGGGAGGGAGCGCTCCCACCCTGGCAGTCAGCAATGCCATCACTGCCTGATAGACTGTTCTGCTTCCCTGATAAATGGCTGCTAACAACATCCTGCCCTTGTTTGCGTAAATACTCAAAACACCACTCGTACAGCACTCACAAAGCTCTTTCACACTTACTATCACTTTTCAGCCTCACAAACTCCCTTTTGTTACTGGTTATCTTATTTGTGTTTAAGGAGATTAGAAATAGAGAGAAAGCAACTTTTAACTAACAGTTCACTTATCCTTGCCTTCCCCAGGACTAGCTGTTCCTTCAGGGTAGGACAGAAAGATTCCCAGGCCACTTGTGCCCCTGGCCCTCTTCCATGCCTCTAGAAGTACGAAGCATTACGTCAGTGCTCAGTCATGTTCTCAGGTAATCTTCAGGCCAGGCCCTACATGAGGACGTGAGGCAGGCAAGAGGCTGGGGGAGGAAGACCTAGGTTCAAGTCCTGCTACCATTCATCAATAGGACAAAGGTTACCTCTGGCCTTGTTTTCCAGATGGTACAGTGAGTAGAAAGCTGGCCTACGCCCTCATCACCTGTACAACACTGTAAAACAGACAAGCTGACTCATCCTGCTTTCTCTTTCAAATCCAGTACATTTAAATCATTGCAGGTTAGACTGGAAGCACCATCTTTGGAAATAAAAAACAAAACCAAAAAACAACTCCAGGATCTGAATTATAGTACTGTACTATCATTGGCTGTGGCCTATTAATGTATCTTTGTGTGTAGATCTGTAAGAAGTTTGCCAGATGCCTACCACAAATTAGATGCTCAACAGTTTTTATTCTTCCTTTCCCATTGTACATGCTATTTCTCTTTTCTTGAACTCTGCCAGTAGGAGTTCAGGACAGACACCAACAGCTACAGGAAGGACCTGTGAACATCAGCACCATCAGATAATGGTTCTGTGAGGGAACCATTACCCAACCATCCAGTACTCACAGGTATCTTAATGGATTTTTTAAAAAATGTATTTAGTACAAGGTCTATAGGGTTTCACTACATAGATCGGACTCGTAGTGATTGTCCCATTTTCAGCCTCCCAAGTGCTGGGATCACAGGCATATGCTACCACGCCCAGTTTTAATTGCCATCTCAGTGCGCCCTGGGTGTGGGGCCAGCATGATTCGTGGAGCCAGGGATGGAACCCTGGTCTCTGTCATCCCTGTCACAGGCATTTTTTTTTTTTTTTTTTTTGATTGGGGATGTCTATCTATTTGATGAAATCTATTTTTTTTTTTTTTTTCAGAATTGGGGATTGAACTCAGGCCCTTGTTTATTCTACTAAGCTATCTCCCCTGGCCCCTCTGTCACAGGCATCTTGATGAAGCTTTTTTATTTTCTTCTTCTTCTTCTTCTTCTTCTTCTTCTTCTTCTTCTTCTTCTTCTTCTTCTTCTTCTTCCTCTTCCTCTTCCTCTTCCTCTTCTTCTTCATCATCATCATTATTTTGGTACCAGGGATCAAACTTGGGACCTCGTGCTTGCCAGGCAGGTACTTATGCTGCTGAGCTATCTCCCCAGTCCCTCACAGGCATCTTGATGAATCATTTGGGCCACAGAATTTTTTTTTTTTTTTTTTGTACCTGCAATCTAACTCAGGACCTTGAGCTTACTGGGCAGGCTCTTACACATCACACATTGGAGCTATCTCCTCTCCTCCGCCTTGGGCCATAGAATTTTAATTAGGATGTTTCTTTGGAAATCATCTAGTCCAGCCTCTTTTACAGGTGAGCAAACTGACTGCAACACCACAAGCAAGATCATTCTACAAGTTAGGAAAAGGAACAGAACTAGAGGCCAGATCTCAGATCCAGGTTTCTCAGTTTCTGCTCGTTGGTCCAGCCTCAGCTTTTCAAGACCATACATGAATGAACATTCAGGGCACTGGTTGCTCTGCTTTCTCAAGGGAGGGTGTGATTTAAAGTCAGAAGGGCAGAGTTCTAATCAAAGTGCTGCCACTTACCAGAAAGTCTTTCTTGTCATTTAAAGGGAGATAAAAATATCTACTTCATAGGAATTTTATTTTGTGGTCCTGGGGGATAAACCCATGGCCTTTGCTCTGACCTATACCTCCAGCTCTTTTTTAAAGTTTTATTTTGGGACAGGATCTTGCTGAGGTACCCAGGTGAGGCTCAAACTTGTGATCTTCCTGCTTCAGCCTTTGAGTGCTGAGTTTGCAGGTGCACAACCACACACCGTAGGCCTGTGGTAAGCATTAGTTAATATAGCTAAAGCACAGAGAACAATGCCTAGCACAAGATGAAAGCCCAGTAAAATTTTCTCGCAGATACATCAGAGGCTATTTCCACTGCTTTCCAAATAGAAACTCTCAAAGGATGTTTGTAGTTTGAAAGACAATCTTGGGCTGGGGAGATGGCTCAGTGGAATAAGGGCTTCCCTGGCAAGTGCAAGGGCCTGAGTTCAATCCACAGTTCCGCCAAAAAAAAAAAAAAAAAAAAAAAAAAAAAAAAAGAAAAAATCTTGTGCTGGGAGTAGTACTTTAATGGATTTAGCCAGATGAGAGCTGTCAGACTTAATCTAATCCTAGGGAGACCCTATACAAACTTTTAATATTTTACTGAAATTCCTTGTTGACTTGAAGCATGGAGACCAGGACCATAGAATTTTGTATGGCAAGACACAAACTTTTCACATCAGGGGATGGTGACAGGTTAGGTCATAACCTCTAGGCCCCACAAGTACCCAAGGCAGAGAGCTCTGTCCCTTGGAACTGCAACACGAGTGGCTCAGCAGCCTTAATTTGCCTTTCTTCCTCACCAAAATATTACAGGTAAAATGCAGGAAATGGCTCCTGATACCTTGTATCTACTCAACACTACTGGAGAGTAAAGTGCAGATGTAGGCAGCTGAGTTAAGGAACAGAGAAGCAACCTAGCCATGAACCTAGCCTGGCTGGGGTGTTCTCCCTATGGATGGGAGTAAAGGAAAAAGTGGGGAGACCATCCTTTCCTGGGCTTCTGTGATCTCGGGCAAATCTTCCAGTCTAACAGCCAGAGTTTCTTTACTTATAAGTCAGAGCTGAACGACCTGTATCTCTTCAAGCTCTAATAGTCTGTTTCCATAAGTCTTTGTAAACATTGTTAATTTTCTCTTGGAAAACCATTCTAGCAACACTCCTGGGCAGGCCCTTTAAGCCTAAGGAAGCTATTATCATTGTCCAGTTAATTCGTTTTCCTGGACTATCAATTCTACAGATCCAAAAGGTCCAGGAAGGCCTTGTACCGGTGAAACCCAAGGCATGGCCTGGAGCTGAGTCATTCTTCTGGAAACAACTTTTCATTGCGATCCTCCTGTAATTTGCTGGTCACACCACCTACAGGTGGCATCCCAAATCTGATGCCCTTGGTCAAAAAAATAAACAAAAACAAAACAAAACAAAACACTAAATCTAACAAATCTAATCGCGAAACCAATGGGTTAAGGATGTAGCGTCTATCAAAAGCATTATCAATTAGGGATGCAAGCGGCAACGCGTGTCTCAGTAGGCAAGTGCTTAAGAAACTTGTAAGCCCATCACTCCACACAGATCATGCCTAGCGGAGACCTCTCCCCTCTTTCCGAGCCTTCCCGGTCGGCTGGAAACAGCAGTTTTCACAGGGATCACAGCGGTCTGTCCCGGGGCGTCGGGATGAGCACGCCCGCTGCTACCCCGCACGCGTGTGCCACGACCTTGCATTTGGGGGGAATCTCGAGCGTTAGCACTCAATGAGGGGCAATCGCGAAGACTTAAGTGGAAAGTCAGGATCACTGAGCTACAGGCAAAGCTCATCCACCATCGCTCCCCAGGCGCTGCCAACCGCCTCTCTTGGGCGAAAGCAAAGCAGGCAAACGCAAGTCCCGGTCCTCCCGGTATAGCCGACCTGAGTGAGGAAAGGTTGGGAAGGTGTCTAACACTGTTCCTCAGCCACCGACAGTCCCAGGATCATGGCCCAGAGAGAGACAGAGAAAGAGAAAGACGGGATTAACTCACTGCTGCTCCAGATCATCAGCCATAGTAAACAAGCCCTGCTGGGTCGAGCTGAGCCTGCCCATTCCTCCGCCTGACGCCAGCACCAGCTGACCCAGAGTGTCTCGGGTAACAAAGGGGGCGTGGCCGGCTCGGAGGCGGGGCTCCCGGGCGGGGGGCGGGGCCCGTGCCGGCGCTGGGGCTCTAAGCTAGGATGAGGGTGGTCGGGGGAGTGGGAACGGCGAGAGGGGTCTCACGAGAGAGGACAGCGGTCGGGCACAGATGTGGGGGACAGTGAGGGAGGTCAAAACCCAAGACCTTCACAAGAGCACCTTTAGCCCTCTCATAACGGAAAAGCAACAACACCCCCCTCACCCCATGCTCAAGCTCTCCGCGGGCCTCCCTTATAGCTGCTTTCCTTTGTAAGCTAAAGTTAATAGATCCCCTCCTGCTAGAACTATACACACCAGAAAGAACCCTCACTATCTAAACAGGCTTCTGGGGAGAAAATGTGTGGGGTTTTTTTCTATCTTCAAGACAGAATGCATGATGGACAAACGTGGAAACACAGTCATTATGGATAGAAAGTAATTCCACAAACCCTTTTTCCTGTGCCTATACATTATCATTAAACATTCCAAAGGCGGGTGGAGCTGATAAACTAGTAGTAGCCCAGCTCTCGCCAGGATACTGTTATTTGGTTTCAAAGGAGTGCCATTGCCTTTTGAATGAACTATGAACTAGGTACGACTCCTAAACTAAATATAGTACTATATTTAGTGAAATAGTTCTATATTTGCTCTGTCCAATGATAGCTATGTGTGGTTACTTTACTTTTAAAGTAATCAAATTGTCCTTGGTCACTCTAGCTGTATTTCAAGTGCTCAGCAGCCCCATGTGTTCAGTTGCTGTTTTATTAGAGAGCACAGAGACAGTGTCATCCTTACAGAGATTCTACAGGGTAGGGCAGTGTTGCCCAGGCACAGATGATTTCATCTTCCTGTGGTAGGGAGTACAAATACTGCCCTCTGAAAGGACAATATGATCAATTTTCTTTTGGGTGGTGGTGAGGATTTTTATGAGGGAAGGAGATGAAACAAAGGTGATTGTAAATGGTTGTTCTCCTTTATCCGGGTCTGAAAGGATGAAGGAATGTGGGTTTACTGAAGATACCTGGTGCTTGACTGGGACTTGCATCAGAAACTTGATACTTCCAGGATTTGATTTTGTACTGCTTGTACTCTGACTCCTTTAAAACTTTCCATTTGAAAATAATAATCTGCTTTATTTATTTATTTATTTATTAGAAAACAAGAAGGGAATTTTGGTCAAACTGAGGCTGATGTTGAAAAGGTGGACTGTTAACATAACATGCCTTTGTCTGCTCAAGTTTTGGAGGATCTGTCTTTCTTTCCTCCTTTTTGAGACAAGGTCTTGCTATGTAGTTCAGGCTAGTCTTGACTCCTGGCAATCCTCCTACCTCAGCCCCACAAGGGCTGGAATTACAGGCATGTGGCATTGCATCTAGCTTGGATATGTGTTTCTTTTAATACGTAATGTAATTTCTCATGGGGAAATATGATTAAAATAATGGCTTTGCCCTTAGGGGAAGAGCTCTCATACCTTTCCACTGTTTTATGATGTTGAGTGTTTTAATAACGAAACTGCTAAGGTTTGAGCTAGAAGAAACAAAGACAGAAAGGTGACCAAGAGACTTTTTTTTTTTTTGTCTTTCATTACCTTAAAACTGTGGATCTGATTCCTTCTCAGCTCTGCATATAGGCATGCTAATCATTCGGAGGGTGTATTATAAAATTTATCAGTGCTAAATGTAGTCTGTCTCATTTTCCCTCAAGATTGAGAGCATCCAGATTAAGAGTAATTGTCAAGATACTCAGGAGCCAGTTTTGCCAGTTCCAAACCCCTTCAATCAATGCCTAGAAGTCTTTAAACAGTCAAGGGTTCTAGAAAAGCAGAGCCTTGTAGACAATCCCTGATAAAAAAGATCACCCCCCCCCAAGCAAGAACAACTACCGCATTACAGATACTGAGATAGCTCCCCTCTCCTGAACAACGAAAATCATCTTGGATATGATAATCTCATGGGAACCAAACTGACCCTCAAGTCACAAGGAATTTCCTAGAGCCATGGACATCCAAACTGAGATATGGATAAACCACACCTTGGTCTATTCCAGCTAAACCTTAAAAGCTGATCTTATGCTTTTGTGAGTAGGCCCACCTGAACCCCTGAGTATGATTAAGCTCCAGGGAAGCTGGAGGCTCTTGTATTCTCCCTTACTTTCTAACCCTGTCTAATTAATCTGCATTATGCCTGGCACTGAAGCATCAGGAAATTATTTTTGTGTGCATGATGTGAGTCAAGAACCATCTGGGTAGGCTGAGTTGAGGACCCTTTCTCCTCTTTAGGGTTATCTCCTTGGATCCCTCCAGGGACAAGTCTACTCTGACTTTTGTTTCAATTTATAAACTTGATTTGCACTCTTATGAACCATCTGATTTGCAGTCCTTTTAGTGCTACCTTTTTCATGGCTAAAATATTAGGAACCTAATTGTTCTGAGAAGTACAGAAAGCAGCTAATAGTTAATTACCATAACTCATGATGATCAATGACCAAACATGTATCAAATATTTACTATGTGCCAATCATTGTGCAAAGTGCTTAATACTATCTCATTTAATCCTCAGAGCATTCCAATAATTCAGGTACTATTTTCACTTTATAGAAAAAGAAAATAAAACTGTCAGGCTAATAACTTTTTTGATTAAGCAACCAGTAGACAATATAATCAAGGTTCAAAAACAACACAGGTTTGTCTGACTGTAGAGCTTGCATTCTTATCCACATGAATTTTTACATTTATTAAAGATCTGAAGGGCTGGCCAGAAAGCTCAGCAGACTAAAGCACTTGCATAGCAGAGTGCAGGGCTGGGGTTCAATCCTGGAGTGTCGTGCTGGCCTTGCCTCTGGGGCACACCAAAATGGAGACAAACGGCGTGGTGGCATTTCAAGTTCTTGGGAGGCTGAACACAGGCGGATCACTAGGAGTCTGATCTGTGTAGTGAGACCCTGTACTAAATACAAAAAATAAAAATAAAAAAAGTTCTGAAATATACTAGTTAAAACCAACACTAGCATTAGCAATTCTCCACTGACATCAGTTAAGTAGAATCATAAACTGAATACAGAACAAGATCTTCTTGTTGTTTTAAGTAGCCCAGAAAAGGTTTAGTTCATTATATTGCTAAAACTTTGCAGATTTTAGAAAGGTATGCATTCAAAGTTAGTTTGATGTTTAAAAAATGTTTTTTAATCTTTTCTGTTCTCCTCCTGTGGGAATTACTGTGGAGATGTAAATCATGATAGTTGACAAAGATCAAAGGCAGCAAAACATAGGGGGAAACTGCTGGAGGAGCCTGACTGATGGAATAGAAACCTTGAGGAATTCACTCCTGAATGATTAAAAAGCATCAGCAAAGCTTGTGGAATTTGAAGGTGAAGACTAGTGAGGAAACTACTTGCCCACTTGCTCATGAGACAGGGAGAAAGGTTCAGTTGTTGGAGACATTGATGTCTCTTGCCATCTTGTCAAATAGGACGCCTTTTTTCTTTTCAACATGAGAGGGCTTAGGCTGAATTTACATTCAGTAGTACAAACCTCGGGGGTTTGTGTGAATATGACTATCTCTTCAAATAAACTGTAAAACTAAGGGCATGGATAATTTCCTTCCAAAACCTAAGCAAGGCTTTGCTCATTACTGAATATCAGTACATTTGTTCATGCTGATTAAGTTTCTACTAAATGCAACTTAAAAAGCGAAAATGCTGGAGTGTTGTTCCGTTTTAGAATTTTGCTCATGTATGATAATGTATTGTTTACAATTGAAAAAAAAAAGAGTTATGTGAGGAAAGACTTCCAGTTGACAGCGAGAGGCACTAATTTTAAATTAGACTGATGTGAAATTATGAACGAAAGGAAAGCCAGAAGGCACAATTTTTGAAAAAGTTAAAATATTAATTAAACACGTTTGTTAAAATAGAAAACTTCAAACCTATGAAGGTGTGCTATGGAAATGTATCAACTTCTCATGATGAATGTAGTCACGTACTGCAAACATGTAAATAAAAATTAAAAAGAATTTGAAGTCTCAAATCTTCATTTCAAAATCCTCTACAAAATGAGATGGAACTAGACATGGTTTTGTGGGCCTTTCATCATTGATATCTCAGAGGAAGAGTAAACCGGGTTCAAGACGCCCGTTTCATGGCAGAGAGCTAATCAATCATATCTACACTCTGTGCAGGAGGAGCGACCTTTTTTTCTCCAGTTACCCTTTTCTTTGGGGAGGCCACTGTATCAGATTCACGTTGGGCAACCTCAATAAATGTCTGCAGAATTAATGAATAAATACCTGTGGGCTTGTTGTACCGCAGGGCCAGATTCTAGGTTCCCGTTCACCTTTAGAAGGTTACCCCCCCCATCCCCACCCCGGTCCTTCCCCGCCCCCATAATCAACTAAACTGGCGCCGGCGCAGTGATTAGTCGGACGGTTCTTAGTGCATAGGAACTTGGCTTGCTCTAAGGATCTGTAATACGCATCTGCAGAAAGAGCGCTTCATAGAATCAGGGCCAGGATGTCGCTGAACTCAGGGAGCACCAAACGTTGCCTCTGAGCAGATGTAAGCGTTTAATCTTTACGGAGCTACGAGGACCTACGAGGGCCGGAACCTTTCGGTTAGCTAAGTCGTCCGCCGTTAAACCTCTCCCCCTGCTCTTCCCACACTATTGTATCTCGCGACCGGAGCAGATGTGGGCGTTACCAATTAGAAGGCGGAAATAGGTTAGAAACTGTACACGTCTCCAGCCCCTTGAATGACCCATTGCGCAGACGCATTAGCTATCTCTGGCTGTAGTTCGCGGTGTGTGGAGGCAGCCTGCGTCTGCGCATTAGTTGTCTTGCGCCTTAGCCTCGCTGTACGCCTGCGCAACTTGGGGTGGGCGGAGCCGGGCCGGTTAGTGCGCGTGCGCAAATGCTACGTCCTACGTGGACGTCGCATCCTGTGGGAGTCGTGGAAGCGGGGCCCGGTGCGCTCAACTTGTAGCCATGTCGGCCTCTGTGGTGTCTGTTATTTCGCGGTTCTTAGAGGAGTACTTGAGCACCACTCCGCAGCGGCTGAAGTTGCTGGACGCGTACCTCCTGTATATACTGCTGACCGGAGCGCTGCAGTTCGGTTACTGTCTCCTCGTGGGGACCTTCCCTTTCAACTCTTTCCTCTCGGGCTTCATCTCTTGTGTGGGAAGCTTCATCCTAGCGGGTAATTCGACACGTAGTCCCGATAATAATGCGTTACTTTGGTGCTCGGCTTTGTTCTCTGTATTCTTCGCAGCCTGTCTGACACTGTGAGGGGAAGTTGAGGCTCAGAGGGGGGTGGTGTGCCTCATATATCAAACAGCTGCTGAGGAGCTGGAGTTAAATAGCTGAAGAAATCCCCGTCATGTTATTACCGTCCAGTCTGGTAATACACACCCACCTTCCACTTAGTTTTAACACACCCTTAAAGTTGGCATAGTTCTACATGAAAAAAAAAAAACCAAAAACCCAAAAATCAAACTAAACAAAACAAAAAAGCTAACCGTGAATCATCTCTTTAATTCAGGCTTGGTTACTGCTGACCTCTGGTGAAATGTTTTAATGAAAGCGTGAGAAATACAAATATAAATGCTTTGCTGGTTGTGTCAGTCTTATTTGATTTTGAGTTTTAGCTGCTTCTGCTTATTGTGAATGAAGTTAATCAGCTTATTTCATTATTGTATTAGAATTTTATTCATATGAAATTATCTTAATTTTTTCTAATTCTCCACGTTTGATAACCTTGTAATACTGCCTTAATGAGCACTGCTTTTTTTTTTTTTTTTAAATAAATGTTTACCAAAATCTGAACAGGATTCAGTAAATAGTTTAGCCCAGGACTGTTAGCCTTTCCATTTTATAAGTGGTCATTCTATGGGCCATTCTTGTTACTGGTATGGTTGCTGAACAGCCCAGTGCAAAGACCCTGCGTGTAGTACCTAACAGATGAAAAACAATTTTCTGTGTGATAATTGTCAGTTAGGCTGTCAGTCCTATTGAGTTGAATACAAGGTATTACAGTAAATGCTTTGGAGATTTATTAGCTTTGTGCTCCTTGTCTTCAGAGTTTACAGTCTGGTTGGGGGCATAGATAAGATTCAGTGTTAGATTTTTTCTTTTTTCTTTTGAGACTTCATGTAGTCTTCCATAATTAAAGTTAGATCTGTAGAATGCATTTTCCATATTCACGTTGCTAGTTCAGGCTCCTCAGTGATATTGGTACTTCTCAGACTTAAAAAGGCCTAAGAGCTGGATGATCTTTGTCCTAGCTGACGCTTGAGTTGTGAAATCAGAATTTTAAAAAATCTTTGTATTTATTTATTTGGTACAGGATCTCACTACCCAGCGTGGACTCATAGTAATTGATCCTCCTGTCTCAGCCTCCCCAGTGCTGGGATTACAGGTGTGCACCACCATGTCCGGTTTTGGTGGCCAGCTCAGGGTGGGACTGGCACAGCATGTGGTACCAGGGATTGGACCCAGATCCTTGTGTTTGCCAGGCAGAGGTGCTTGGACCATAGAGCTATCTCCCTGGCCCTGGAATTAGATTTTTCTTTCTTTTTTTGAATGGAATTAGATTTTTTTTTTTTTTTTTGTATTTTAGGGAAGTGTCTACAGACTATTCAGAGTCTCACTACTAGATTGGACTCAGTGATCTTCCTGTTTACATCCTCCCAAGAGCTGGGATTACAGGCACATGCCACCATGCCCAGTCTCAATTGCATCTCAGCATGCCCCGGGGGATGGGCTGGCACGGCAGTCTCAGGGATTGAACCCCTGGCCCCTGTGCCTGCTTGCAGGTGCTTTAATCCCCTGAGCTATTTGGCTGGCCCTTGGAATTAGATTTTTGATTGGATATTTAATTATGATATTTGAGTTTTGCCCTACATCACTAAGACCTGGTTCCCTATGTCACCATTTTAACCTATGTTCATTTGTGCCTAGTACTATTCATTACTAAAAGTTTTAGTAGCCAACCAGAAGAAGGGAACATTGAGAACAACTGGTATCTATATCTATATCTATATCTATATCTGTATCTATCTATCTAACTATATTTTAATTTTTTGCCTCAATATATGAAAGAGAAGTAACATGTTGGGACCTGAAAACTAACTACTTAAAAAAAGAGACCTTAGCTTGTATGGTGTGGCCCAGACCTGTAATCCTACCACTCTGGAAGGCTGAGGCTGGAAGAATCCGGATTTCAAACCATCCTGAACAACTTTGTGACTTAGGGAGATTCTGTCTGAAAATAGAAAAATGGGGTAGTGGTGCAGCTCATTGTGTAGGTCCTGAATTCAGTCCCCACTATTGGTAACTGAATAATAGGAACCCTCTCCATGCTGAATTCATCTTGGTTTCTTAAGCCTCTGTGGTTAAGAATGACTTCAGAGCAGAGCCAACTGTAGTGACACTGGGACGCTGAGGCAGGAGGATTGTTGCAGTTTAGACCAGTATGAATTACTATATAGCCAGACCCTGTCTTAAAGAATTCAAAAGGGTGTGGTGGCACACATTTGTAATTCCAGCACTTCCAGCACTCAGGAGACTGAGACACGATCATTCCAAGTTTGATACCAGCCCGGGCTACAAAGTAAGCTCAAGGACAGCCTGAACTGCACAGTGAGACTCCCCCCGCATCCCCCATGTCAAAAAGACAAAAAAAAAAAAAGCAAGGCAAAATGATGGTGGTTTGATGCAGAGTGGGCATTAACTAGTTATAGATTAATTAGGAAAAGCCACAGATTTTTTTGAGCAGGTCACTTGGTTATACCAAGACCCATTTTTGAACCTGTTGAGGCTAAAATTGAACTGGTAAGCTTCTTTCCAATGGGGAGTAGATGGCTTACTATTAAAGAGTATGTTTAAAGGGCCAAGGAGGTAGCTCAGGGGCATAAGCACCTGCCTGGCATATACAAGGTCCTGAGTTTGATCTCTGGTACTGGAAACCAACCAACCAAGCAAACAAAAGAATGTTTAGTGCTGGGGAGATGACTCAGTAGAATAAGTGCTTCCCTGGCAAGCGCAAGGGCCTGAGTTCAATCCCCGGTTCAAAAAAAAGTACACTTGGGCTGGGGAGATGGCTCAGTGGAAAAGGCGCAAAAGAATGTTTAGTGATGGGACCTTAATAGTGAGATTGATGGAGGGGATAGATTGAGATTTCCATATCTGTTAGATAGCAGGTTATAGGATCAGAGAAAAGTTCCTTCAGATTTTTTCTTTCTCCTTAGGGTAACCTTATGATGGTCTAGTCTTGTTGACATATTGTTGCAGACTTTCCTGCAGTACAGCCTCTGATAAAACCAGGCTGTCCTAAACTGGTAGTGAAATTATTTACATTTTTACCTAAAAGAGTGAGAAAACACCAAAATCTCTATGTGTTTTGTGCTCAGGCAGACATGGAGGGTATATTCTGTGAGACCTAAAGTTTCTGTGCAGTTGTTCTAAGAAACATGTCAGCAGAGCCTGTCCTGGTTCTTTGTGCTAAGTCTGTCCATGACAGGACCAGTCTTGCTTTCTTTATTGAGAGGCAAAGAATGATGGGAAAGTGTTGAAGGCATAAGCACAGTGTCAGCTAGGTGAGAAAGGTGTTTTTTTTTTTTTTTTTTTTTTTTTGTAATAAGAGATCAAGTAAAGTAACAAAAGTGGCTGCAGGAAAAGGACTGATGATGATTCACTGTTAGCTCAGAAAGATGTCATCTGCATTTCTTTTGATAACATTGAGTTTAGCACAAATCAAATAGCATAAATCTACCTCTGCTGCTAGTACAGATCTGGATTTAATAGGAAACTTGAAATTTGGATGCTTACAATTGTTTTGATAGTTGAGAAAGGAAATCTTGTGCTTGGTGGTGGTGGTGCTGAGGTTTTAAACTTTCTGGGTTGTGTGTGGGTTTTTTTTTTTTTTTTTTTGCAGTGATTGAAGGAAGCCAGTCTGGCTGAAGAACAGAGATTTTAAGAAATCATGTTGAAGGATTAGGTGGTGCTGGATGCTAAAGCTCCAGGTACCAGGCCAAATAATTTGGACTATAGGTTATATGAGAGCATCTGAGGGCCGGGGAGATGGCTCAGTGGAATAAGCGTTTCTCTGACAAGCACAAGGGCCTGAGTTCAATCCCTGGTTCCGCAAAAAAAAAAAAAAAAAAAAAAAAAAAAAAAAATTCTGAGATTTTTTTTCTTTTTTTAAGGAAAGAATACTTAAAATTGTTAGTATGTAGGGATGAATTGGATGGAGGAGTTCTTTAGTCTGATGCCCTAGTTTCTTTGTGGTAGTTTATTTTTCTTTCCTTCTTTTTTTTTTTTTTTTTCAGAACCGGGGATTGAATTCAGACCCTTGTACTTGCCAGGGAAGCTCTTATTCTACTGAGCTATCTCCCTGGCTCCTTTATTTTTCTTTTGCATTAGCTTATCATATGCTCTTTGAAAATAGTACATTGAAACCAACTTAGAATGCTGCCACATTATAAAAAAGCCCAGGGGCTGAGGAGATAGCTCGGGTGTCTAAGCATCTACGTGGCAAGTGCAATGACCTGGGGTTCAATCCCCAGTACCACATGCTGTGCTGGCCCTATGCTGAGTCAGCCACAAAAACTGACTGTGATGGTGCATGCCTGTAATCCCAGTGCTGAGGAGGATGAGACAGGAGGATCACTACGAGTTGGAGCTGCATAGTGAGACCCTGTACCAAATAAATAAATAAATAAATAAAGCCCAGCAGTATGAAAATGATTTTTTTTTTTTCTTCATGGCTGAAAGACATGATTTCAGGAAGATTTATTCAGGATTTTCAGAAAAATTGCCAGTGCAATATGGAGAATACAGGTTTTTTTTGTTGTTGTTGTTTTGTTTTTTGTTTTTAAAATCAATAATATAGTATAGTAGTCTTTAAAAAGACTTCTGGGGCTGGGGAGATAGCTCAGTAGAATAAGTGCCTGCTTGGCAAGTGCAAGGTCCTGAGTTCAATCCCTGGTATTGCCTAAGATGTTTAATATTCAGACAGATAGTGAGATCAAGTTCAACAGCCTACGTTGTATGGTAATAACAATAAGCTTTTCTTCTGGAGGGTTAACAACCTAAGTTTGCAGACCAAAATTAGAGAAAAAGGAGGGCCGCAAGGAAAGCCAACATCTTGGCCCTAGACTTCCAAGGTCAGTTAAGACTCAGAACATATGAGAACTTGTA